ATATTAATATAAAATTTATTATTTAAATATTATATAATAATATTTACCATATATGTATATAACTTCCAAGTTGAGCTTATTATGGGTTATTTAGCTTGGGCCCTATCCGATAAAGCCATCATTGGACTCCAAAAGTTTGATACCCAATTAGACTTTGAATCTGATTATCCCTGATAATGTGTAGGCGTGGTTTATATCTTAGCTAGACCTAATTCAACAGAAAATAGTTGCTTGAGTAACTCAAAAGAAAATAGTTACTTTTTATTAATTATTAAATTACTGTAATTTTCTACTATTTATAGCTTAAATTATAATTATTGTTAATTACAGTTTAAAAATAATTATTGTTAATTATATTACTATTAATAATTAAAATGCATTATTTTTTGGTATTTTTTGCAATAAAATATAATTAATTTATTATTTTAATTATTTTTAGTATTTTAATTAAGCTTTGGGTTTTTTAGAATTTTGGAATTTTAATTAATTTTTGGTGTTTTTTCATTATTATTCAGTAATTTTTTCATATGAGTATTTTTCAATAATTTTCAGTATTTTCAGCATTTATGTTTGTATATTAGTCACTACAAAATTAATTTACATTTGCTTTCAGTAAAAATACATTAAATAACTAAATAAATACCATAGTTAATAAAAAATACAGCTAATTTTCAATATTTTTTAATAATTTCTAGCTTGTATTTTTTAATAACAAAATACTATTAATTTTACTTTTTAATTATTTCAATAAATACCCTTATTAATATAAAATAATTTTAATTTTCAATATTTTTTAATTATTTTTAGTATTTTAATTATGTTTAGGTTTTTTAGAATTTTCCGGATTTTTAATTAATTGTTGGTATTTTTTCATTATTCCTCAGTAATTTTTGCATATGAGTAATTTTGCAATAAAATACTGTTAATAAAACATGTCCTACATTTTAAATTTTCATTAATTTTTATCATTTTTAATGATTTCATTATGCATAATAATGGTCTCAACTCATAAAGTTATTAATTAATTAAAAATGCATTAATACAAAGTTATCTAATAATATTATTAAAATTATCAATTAATATTTTATATTTAAATTTCTTATTTTTAATTCTTTGTTGGTATTTTTCATTATTATTCAGTAATTTTTGCAATAAAATATTGTTAATAAAATGGGTTCTACATTTTAAATTTTCTTTATCATTTTTAATGAGTTCATTATGCACAATAAAGATCTCAACTCATAAGTTATCTAATAATATTATTAAAAGTTTAAAACTATCTATTAATATTTTTATATTTAAACTTTTATTTTTATTAGTGTTTAAGTTTGATTTTTAAGTGGAATTGAAACACATTTTTAATATTTATTAAGTTTTGTTAATATTTAGTTTTAGTTAAAATTTAGTGGATTTTTAAATTAATAATTTCTTGATTATTTAACCTCAACCTATTTATATTATTATTATTCTCTCTCTCTCTCTCTCTTAAATGTAATAATAACATGCATTAAAATAAGAGGCATGTGAAAACCCAAACGTCACTTTGAAAAATTTAATAATTTTATTTACTATTAATTAATATTAAATTAATAATTAAAATTTATTGTTAATTAACTAAAGCATTCAAAGTTATTGTTAATATTTAAGATTTTAATAATTGTATTTTTCATTTAATGTTGATTTATAAAAAATAATTATTGTTAATTTAATATGAACACATTTTTTAATAAATTTAGTTGTGTTAATAATTTATAGTAATTTTAATAATTGTTATTATTTTTAAATGAAATTTTGATTAACTTTAGATAAATAAATATAATGACAAAATCTAACATTTTTATTAATTTCACTACTAATTAACAATTATATAGGAATGACAATGGGGTGGGCAGGGCACCCCATCCCTATCCCTATCCCTATCCCTACCCCATAGTCAAGACACTCTACCCCATCCCCACTTCGTCCCTAGTGTCAGGCGGGTTCAAGGCAAGATAAACACTCAATGTCAGGGCGAGTTCAGGGGCAAGGCACCCCACTCCTAATCAAGGATGGAGAATCCACGAATTTCCCCGCCCCATCCCCAATATTGGGTGGGTTCACGTAGAAGTGTAAATTAGATCGTTCTGGGCCAACACAACACGACCCGCATGTGGCCCACACTTTGTGCGGGCCGTGCTATGTTGGCCCATATGGCATCCCGGGCAATACCTCCCTCCCCTAAGATAATTTGGGGGGTCGATTTGGCACAGCCCATGACCCAAGCTCACACGGGCCCGTGTCATGCCATGGGTCGGGCTGGTCCATGGGCTGAGCCACAACCACTACAAAGTATTCCTTGATAACAAAAGTCACAAAGATCGGTTTCAGATTCCCATCCAGATCGACGATGACGAAGGTGGATATGAAGCTGATGGAATTAATGCTGGGGCGATGAGGCGATGGATGATGTTGATGACGTTCACGTGAATTCTAGAAACCTTGTTGATCAAACTTATGGTTTGGCGTCTCGAACAAGTGAGCTGACACTATCCTTTGAAGGCAAGGTTTACGTTTTCCATGCCATGACGCCAGAAAAGGTTCAAACAGTATTATTGCTTCTAGGAGGGTGTGATATACCTGCTGGTGTTAAAAAAATATTGACCTGGTCTAGATCAGTCTCATCACATCAAGCTTAGTTTGGCCCATAGTGGCCCCTCTTTGACTTGGCCTTTGAAGGCATTTTGTTGACCTATGAAGGTTTTTATTGGCCATTGTTGGCCCTTTTCATATTGGTTCGTTGTGGCCTATTTCATATTGGTTAGTTGTGGCCTAGTCCATCGAGGCATTTGGATTGATCAATTGAGGTCTTCTTTTTGATGAAAGCTCCCTCTAAGAAAAAGTAATAGATTCTCATCACGTCAATTGGTCATCTTGTCATCATCATCATCTCAGTAGGCTTGTCATCATTTTCACAACAGGATACCATCAAGATCACTATTTCATCATCTACATGTCACATCCTCGTAGCTTGCAGTCATTTGTGATCAAACACATGAAGATTTCTGATCCCCGTATGTTTGATGGGGCGTGTTAAGGAATTAAGATAATGTTTGAAGTATGGACTGTTATGATAAGGGTGATTAGGAGTTTTCAGTAAGATAGAATTTGTTATGTTATGATAGAATTTGAGATGGACTAAGATAGATTACGTAGAATCCTAGATAGAATCTTAGAGTTTGAATTTGAATAGGTTTGATCTCTATTTTAATTTATAAATATATATGATGTAATTATCACATTCATCAATGTATTTCTTTCTAGCCTTCTTTAAATTTTAACTTGGGTCAACAATTGCAAAAAATGTACGGGTAAGGAGAAAATGTAGCATTTGCTCCAATCTTGGTGAAACTAAAGTGTGAAAAACTGGATTCAAATCTCATGCTATAAACTACATTTTTGTCACCTTGTGCATGGCTATAGATTGTCAAGAGTTGTTGGGTTTTAGATAGGGCTACAGATTGTGCATGGGTAAACCCACCAGTGTATCTTGTTCAAGAGTTGTAAGACACTAGCTCCGACAGAGGCATATGAAAGCAGTCTGTCATATGGTGAATAAAACCTCTAGAAAGCATAAGTGCAATCCAACATTGTATTGTATCTTTATTGGATGCAAACTTTAAAGTATCATAAATGGAATACCAGAAAGCAATTAAGGTTCAAAATTTTGATATGTATCAAACGATATATATTGTATTGAGAGTCTTCCAATACACCCCTATAAAGGGCGTTTCAGGGTTTAACCTGGTTCAGGGGATAAAAGAGTCTTACACCGACCCCTCTGAATCAGATTCACAAAGATTAAGAAAAGAGGAACGAGGGCCAATACAGCCGGATATGCCCCTACTGATGCATCGGGCTGTATAGATATTCTGAACCTTACCAGAAAGGTAATTTTGAGAGGTATTGGAATATGTTTTAGACGTGCATGGATATTTGGAAAAATTAAGATAGGCATGTATCATCATCTAAGGCTCTAAGCTATTGCCCCAACTACATTGGTCAGCTACATGAATCCAGGTTTGCCATTAGTTCTGTTCAATGTCAATATCCGTTGTCTTTTTTTTTTTTTTTAATAAACATACCCATTGTCAAACTATGGGCTATGAAAACTAAAAGCAAGTCCTAAAATGCATGAATGACACTAAATCTAAGCCTTAATTAGAAAGCTATTAATATAAAGTATATAAACATACTTTAGGTAGTGTTCAACAACATAGTTTAATTTGTTTTTGAAAACAAAAACAATAGAATTTTGCTGGTGGCCGGCAGCTGTTTTTGGTTTTCAAAAACAAAATCAACCATGTTATCTAACCCTTTAATGGCTTATATGGAGTGTGAACTTCTTGGACACAGGCATTGAATAACGATAAATAAATAAAACCAATATAATTATTGTTAATATTTAAAAATATACAAGTTTTAATAATCAATTATCCTTTTTAAATTTTTGACAGACATGCACTAAGAAAAATATGCGTAAGCATTAAAATTTAGAACCCACATACAGGTTTAATTAATCTTCTTATTTGTAGTTGTATACCAAAAAATTTATGAACTTAATCAGGGAAATTTGAAGGCAAGAATTCATGAGGAAAGAGAGAAAGGAAGAAACAAATTTGAATTTGAATTTAAATTTAAATTTAAATTTAAATGCCTAATATGAAAGTAATGGATTAAATATATGGGTTAATGAGAGAGAACGGGAGTTAATCACACAAGTCAATATGACAAAAAAATAAAAAAAAACAGAACTTAAATTTCTAAACGAATAAAAAATAAAAGCATATTGACAAAAAGGAGATGGAATTAATATGGCTTTTTGTTTAAAGAAAACACATAACAAAAAACAAAAGAAAAAAAAGAGATTAGTGCCTAGCAAATTCATCTTGAATACCTATATGTACAAGATTTCAGCCAAAATTTCATTCAATGAAAGAATCGTATATACAAATTAAAAGGTTAAACTCAAACCCACTGGAAACTACTCTTAAAGGAATCTCTTGAGAACAACTAACTGCTAGTTCAACGCCGTTTACCGCAAAAATGGAAAAGCAGAATAGAAGCAAGAAAACAACAATGGAATAACTAATTCAATGCCGACTAGCTACAGATATGAATATGACGTTCGATCCTTTTTCAATTAAGCCATCTCTGGACCACTAGGTAGTTCCTCATACCCGTCATGGTGCTTGGTAGTGTTCCCGTTAATGGATGATTTGCAAGGAATCAACTTCAAGACAACTCCAACCGGCAGGCTTATAGCTCCAATTAATACGCTGAATAACCATAATTGCCAACTTAGAGGTACAGTGCTTGCAAAAGTGCCTAGAAACTCCACAATTATTATTTGAAAGGTTACTGTTGAGACCATGATGGCGATGAATATCCAGTTGTTAAGCATACCACGGAAAACGTTAGTCTTCTCTATATCACGACAGTTTATTTCATTGAATACCTGATAGAACAAGTTCAACGAGAACAAAGCAAACAAGTATTTAATCATCAGAACTTCCCATTCAGTTATGATATAGTTAGAAATATTGTGAGACAAATGGGCAGTGATCGATGGTCCTGTAAAGAATTGCCAAAAGAAAACATGAGCATCAAAAGTATTGTTACAAGATTTGTGATATTTGGGTTGTGTTTGGAATCAGTGTAAAAATATATTTATGACGTTCTATACTGAATCAGAAAGTGATTGTTGTTTTTTTGAAAATAGTGATAAGTGGAAGAGTGTAAAGTTTTACAATGATAAAATTAATATAGTTTTTGCATTGATTATTGATGTAAAACTTTAGAGGTGATGAAGTTTTACATCTATTATCGACCTAAAACTACATTCCATCCATACATACAAAACTGAACCCAAATATAGTTTTACATCGATAATAATTACACTCTCTTTCTAAATGCATACAAAACCAAATCGATATAAAATTTAAATTGATTCTTGATTTACATGGCATCCAAATGCAGCCTAAAGAATTTGATATGCATTGATTTAAGGATAATGTACAACTACCTCACAGGTTCAGATAACATTAATTCCCCCAAATCATTCCCCCACGTTTTGAAACTTGTAAATCTAACCAAACCATATAGAGTTGGCATAGAAATCCTGTTTTAGCATTCAACGCCATCAATGATTTTAAATAATGCATTCAACCCCACCAATTCATCTGACAACCCTATTTCTTAATGCCTCAACCCTCTCCTGAAACCCAGATCCCTCTTCTCTAGCAATGATGTCGCCTCCTCTGGCACATTTTTCCATTTAACTTCTTCGACAGGAAGCATTAGTTCTTCGGAAGAAAGGTTAGGTCATAAAGTGAACAGTGGTATCCAATTGTAGTGAAAAGAGATTTAAACATAAAGGATATTTGTATCCTTTTACATACCATCTTGCACTGGTTAATGATTTTGGACTAAATTGAAAGTTTTTGAGAGTGACACGTTTAGAAATTTATGTATTAAAAGTGAGACTAACCTTAAAGTACTGGGTACTAACCTGTAATTTACCAGCAAACAAGCACCGAACAAACCCCATAAAATGTTGTCATCCGGTGTGATCATAGTGGATAAACAAATGGCTTCTTATTTCATCACTCAAAGAAAAATATATGGTTCCAATAAATTTATCCCCCTATAAACCTAATTTTTTGAGAAGCTACAAACTATAATAAGAGTTATTGTGCTTTAATTCATTTTGTGAGAGAAAGATGCCCCGATGTTGGTTCCAGCTGTCTAGGTGGTGTTTGGCATCGATGCTGTTGCTTTAGAAAATAGTGACATGTCAGTGCCACGATGAAAAAATCAGTGCTTCAAGAAACGTCTATATGTTTGGAACCGTTTTTCCATAAAAAGTGGCGTTTTAAGTCACGCATTGGAAATATAGAAAGTGTGGTTTGGAGCAATGCTAAATTTGATGTTTTCTCAGATTGGGGCTTGTTGCTATCAACATGATGTGGCAATGTTGTAGATTTCCTATAATGAGTATTGGTGCTGAAAACAGATTTGGAACTTTGATACCAAACAGAAGGTATTGCCGTTGCTCCAGGAAGCGTCCTACTTGATAGTAATGTTTACAAAAAAAAAATACTATTTTCTTAGAAAACAGTGCTTTCAATCCACACATACAACACCGATATATATATCAGAAAACAGTATTGTATCTGCAGCATCAATCCTAGTGTCTTAGAAGGGGTGAACAGGATACAAAACTAATGTTTGGTTTTTGAGAGAAATCTAACAAATAAATCCAAAGATGGATCGCAATAGGAAATTCTCTCATAAACGCAGTCTATAGAAAAGGGACTATTTTGTGATTTCATACAGTAGGCAACGTTCCAACGATTCATTTTTTCAAATGGATTCATTCTGCTTATTGATCCCCCAATTCAAAGTAGCATTACCAGTGCCTTTTCTTTCATTTTTTATGTACAAATGGTGCAAATATAGTAGTTGTGTTTTGGATGATTAGTTGTCCTGATTCCCAAATGAAGATTTTACTCCATGTATCCCACAATTAGTTATCTAACAGCTTTTAATTGCAAAATTTTACTGTAAATAAAATGAAAAATTTATACTTTGTTTTCGGTTCATTTTTTAATGAATAACAGCGGCCTGGGATTTCAGGCCGAGCCCATTGAAATTTTAACAATTTTCCAACCCGAACTTGGCCATGTTGCATCCCGAAAAAGTTTAAATCACAAGAAATCAGTCACATCCGAAAAGTTGAGATGACCAAAATCCAAAGAAGCATTAATCAGAATTACAATACATCAAAGTTAAGCTTGATTAAAAGGTGTGAACGTGGATCCCAAATAGGTTGAACAGTTACCCTAGAAATGGCTGAATTTACGAGAAGCCCCCAATTTCTAATGACATCATCAGTCATTAGACAAAGAAACTTAATAATTTCACCCAGTGTGCCACTCTCACAGTAATGAGATCAATGAAAACCCCTGTCTTGAATCTTTTCCTTGAATAATCTTCCATTCTTTTTCTCCCAAATGGCCCATAAGATTGCAGCTCCGGAACAAGGATTACAAATCCAAAGCGGGCGTCCACCTGCACCCAATGAAAGTAGAAAACCACTCCGGATGGAGAGAGTTTTCCCTACTCACATTGCAAAGAAGGCAATGATGAGAAGATAAACACCAATATGGTCTCTTATTTTCAAGGGTCTCACAAGTATTGATTTTGGACTGAATAACCTCCCAGAAAGAAAGCCCTCACTTTAGGCAGGACTGGCCTTCTCCGCACTTGTTTCATTGGAAACCTCCGAAGGAAACTCATCTTTTACTGAAAGGTTCCCCCGCCAAAGAACATCCCAAAACTTAATTTTGTCCCTAGAGAGCAACCATGCCATATGAATGCTGGGAAACAAGGAAGCAAACTTGAGATTGGTTTCCACAGAGTTGACAGTATATCCCTTGCATTAAGCGTTGCATCCCAACCATTCCATGAATGCTCTTGATTACCTGCTTCCACAATCTTTCTTCTTCCAAAAGAAGTTGCCACGACCCCTCTTTCTTACTTTTACAAACAATAGCCCAATTTACTAAAATGATCTTTCTTTGAATCCCCATGCTCCTACGGAAATCTCTCATGATCTTCTCTAAATCCTTTGCCATCGTCTTCAGAATTTTGAAAACAGAGAGGCAATAAATAAGAAGGTCACACAAGGTGGTAAATTCTCCCTCCCAATGAAATGTAGTTTTTCTTCCATCTAACTAATTTTTTTTTATTAAAATTTTCCACAATAGGATCCCAGAAAGCCCTATATTTTGAATATCTCTGCCAGGGCAACCCAAGTATATGTTAAAATACTATTGTCTTCTAGATATGATGATTTTCCATGTTTTGGGAGGAAATTTAATGTTCTTAATAAAGAGAATTAATATGTATACTGATTGGTATATGATTTTCCTAGTTCTTCTACATTTCTGTATACCTTGTTCACCTTCTTATATCCCTAAGACCTTGAACTCACTAGTATAGAAGTCGATTGATTTGCATTTCCTTTGGGGGAGCTTGGTTGGGGGTTCTTTTTTTTTTGGTTTTCCTTGTATTTTTCTTGTCTCTTTGCATGTATATATTTGAGGTAACAATTAATGAATTCTCGATATATAGTCAGTGCCAGAACAATTCTCCATGCCATCAACAAAAAATAAAAACATAAAATAATCCTATCCATTTATCCAATAACAAAGAGATTGCAGAATATAGAAACTAAGAAAAGCATTCGTATTTCAAAATATGAGCTAAAAATAGTAAACTTTACCTGGCATAAGACAAAGGTATTGAAGATCAAGGTATTGAGAACAGAACTAGAATTCCAACCACCAAGTCTGAGAAATCTCAAGACACCTTTCCCACAAAATGTAAGAATAGAAAGGATAGCCAGTTGATAAATGCTCTGACCAATAATATTCTTCCACATGGGCCCAGTGATGATATTAACACCCTTCCCAACAGGAGGCCGTTTCATCATCTCATCATTGGGAGGATCTGTAGCCAGTGCCAAGGCCCCAAGTGTGTCCATAATCATGTTCACCCACAACAACTGCACAGCCGTAAGAGGGGCAGCTCCTGAAATATACTTGTGAAAATTAACATGGTTTCCAAATTATGAAATAAATAAATAAAAGATCAATGGATTACACACCTGAGAYGCAGGCAGAAATAAAATTGGTCATAAGAGCAACGATATTTACTGTCAACTGAAACTGTACAAATTTTTGAATGTTTATATAAACAGCACGCCCCCATTTTGCTAAATTCACTATAGTTGTAAAATTATCATCCATGATGATGACATCGGCATTTTCTTTCGCAACCTATGGATAAACATTAAGGGGAAGTAAGAGGAAGAGTGACAATTCATAAAATAAATGGGTAAATAAATAACATCTAATAATAGGTTGGGTGCAATCCTTGGTGACATGTGTCATGTTTCCAATTTCTTATCATCTTGCATAGAACACTACTAAAAGAAAGTTAATATTAACAAATTTTGCACATAAAAGCACATTTCACTAATTTCATAAGGAAATATCATAAAATTTTAATAATTTGTATGTAATATAATCAATTCCATTCAAAAAATTAAAAAAAAAATAGAAAGGTATATTTAAAATTGAATCCAAACAAAAAGTCAAAATCATAGAAAACACAAGCAAACAAATAATAAGCATACTAATTAATTAATTATATCATAAAGTGAAAAGGCAATCTCCTTCCATAAGAAGGTTAATGAGATGGATGCATAGGAAGTTCAACCTAAAAGCACCCCTGAGAAAACATCTTGTCACCTAATGTTGCTTTTTGCTTAATTTCCCGCCTAGCATCACTTTGAACACCTTTTTCCAAAAGAATGACAAACACTTAATAACATTTAAATGTGGGTCAAACATAAGTTGAATAGATTTTTTCCTTACGAGCATTATAATATAATGGGTCTTTGAAAAGAAAAGGGTTCAAAATAGGTATATAGACCTAAGGATATGTATGAGGGGGCAACAACCAATGTTAGAACATTAATGGAAGAGACTTCAAATTTTACAATTAGAATAGGTTTTCACCATGGTTCAACACTTAGCACTCATCTATGTGCACTAATCATAGATGAATTGATTAAACATATTCAAGTTCATTGGTAGTAGTAACTAGTAAGAAATGATTTAAGCACTAATAATTGAACATTGGATATATAGCTTTAAATAGAATGAATTGGGGAAATAGGAATCATGTAGCCAACCCCATATAGTTAGGATAAGGCACGGATGATGATAATGGTGATAAACTCATAAGACCAGTTATGCACACCCCTAGGTCACCAAGCATCAATTTTAGCCACAAGGATTCACATACACCATGAACTATTGATAAAATTCAGCTTCTGAACTTGACTTCCTACAACATTTTGTTTCTAACCATGCCAAGTAACCAAACTACCACCAACCAAGGAGCAGTACCTAGACATTGATCTCCTATCTATGATTTGAATCCAACCCATTCAACATTTGTAAACACCTATATACTCAAATGTGTCAATCATTAGTAGACTTTAAGAATCTCAAAATGCTATGGGAATATTCTAAATGTATAGTTATTGGAGCATGAATAAATTGAATTACAATACTAACTATGTAGGCATTGGTATCTCATGGCATCATTTTCTTCTCAATAACATGATATTTCATGGCATCAATTAAATGATGACAATCCTAATCTCCAACGTGATGATTCTGCCCAATTGGTGTCTCATTGGCTTGTTACCTGTTAAGAAAGTGGATACAATGAATATTTAATTTCTTTTATTTATTAGGATTTATTGGGCCTTTGGCCCATGGGAGTTATATTTTTTGTGTTCTTTTTAACTTCTGTTTCTTAATTGTCTCAATAGCGGCCCTATTGAGGTCATATCATTTTTTTGGCCCTCTCTTCCTCTTCTCCCATCATCTTCTTCATCTCTTCCTCTACTTTCAAGAATATTCTTCTCCTCTTTCTTCAATCTTTTTTATTTCTTTTGTTTTCTAGTCTACCATCATCCCTGTCTCCTTGATAAAATCTAAATTGTACTTCCTTTGACAAATAAATATACTCTTCTTAGACCTTCTCACTCCAATTCTTAGATTTCCCAAGTCTTTAATTTCAAACTCCCTCTCTAAGGACTTCAACTATTGAATTTCTTCTTTATTGTCCCCTATTACAATAATGTCACCTACAAAAATCATTACAGCCACAATGCCTCCATCTCCTCATCTAATAAAGAGTGTAATATCAACTTGGGTTTGCTGCATAGCACCAAGCTCTTGGGGACTATTTTAACCCATACAAGCTCTCTTAACCTTGCAATTTGGTAAGTTTTTTTTTTTATTATTTTTTGAAGATAAATAATATTTTTAATGAAAGAAAATACAGAAAAGGTGACTAGAAGTTACCCAAGGGAAAAAAAAAAGAAAATACAAACAAGTCATAAGAAATTACACCCCCCAAAAAAAATATCCCTATAAAGATAAATCCCTCAAACTCCACAACAAAAGAAAAAACACAAACAAGAAACATCCCCTCGTGGCTCCTGCAAATGTCCCTTTCTTCTTAGAAAATTAACCTCCATTTTCTACTAATTTACTAAGGCTCCATTTGGAAGGAGTACAAATATAAATACGTAGAGCGCAAAACCTTATATTTTGTATTATTTTGTATGAATTTATATTGTATATATTTGTATTTGTACTCCTTCCACACTAAGCTTAAAGACCTTTCTTATTCCTCATCCCCCATGAAGGAAAGTTGCCCTAACATTTTACTCACCTCCACCTCCCTTTCAACCACCTTTTCCAAATTTAACTCGCCCTAAATAACATGAATTTCATCCGTATATAACCTTTTTCCTCTCTTTAAGAGGTTCTTCTGAGACCTCTTCTTTGATAGCTTGACAAGTGCAACCCACTTGACCATCAAATATAACCCTAACTCCTTTCGACCCATATTCTTGAAATTGATTGATATCACTTATTTTGACTTTCAATTTTTTCCTATAATATACCCTTTTGAATTTATTGGAAGGGCTAGCACTAGAAGTTCCTTCTTTTAGCCGTGTAAAAATCTTCAATATATGTACTAATTGTCAATTTTTTGGGCCCTTCATCTTTTTTTGAAAACCTGATAACTTTAGATTTCACTTTATTCCCCTATAGGTCCACAACCTAGCCACCCTCCACCTTCCTACCTAAGCCTAAGCCCAATCTGCCAATAGAAACTTAAAATATATATATATCTTGATCCTATGCTATGCCTTTTCAAGCCCTAACCTCAACTTCAGGCTAATGGTACTCCACCACATATTTTCACCTCAAGTTAACTCCACAACCTCCAAGAAACCAAATCAATAGGCCTGAGAAACGCCCTTCTCAATTGACAAACCAAACATAGCTTCTACTCACCCTTCCTCTACTCCAACTCCTACTTATTGATAACCACCAACTCCTCCCTCGTCATTTAACCTTACCAAATCCCCTGCCACCAATCTCATAGACTTGCATAAAGTAGCCCCTTCAAAGTCGCTACAAAAACCTTACTCCTCTACAACCTTCTAAAGACCCTAGATTTGTCTTGCCCTGGCACCAGTGGAACTACAACCTCACCTACAATGAATGATGACCTAGCGCCATCATCTTAGACAAGCGCCTTTTTCTCATTCAGAAAAAAAAGGAATTTTGGCCGCTCCTACAAACCTCAACCACTATGATGGATTAGAAATAGACCCGATCTAACCTAGAACAATTGGGCCAAATGAGATTTAAGAAACAACACGATTAGAGACTCCTTGCGCAATTAGGTTGCCCAAACCCAAACCGAAACTTGATGTATCTCCAACCCAAATAACTTAACCCTCTAACCCAAGTCACAACTCTTCAAGTTACTATGAAAATCGAAACCCAAACACTTTTTGAAATACTTGCCCACCACAGCATCAAAATTAATTTTGTTTCTCAAAAATCCCTTATATTCAACCTCCAAACTTTCACCTCCTTGACTGGTTGACCCTTTGACTTTATCCTTTTCAAATCACAACCTTTCATCCTCTACCTTTGAACAATCTTCCACCAATAATATTAGATCTCCTCAGCAAAGTTTAGCACCAAGGACAATGGAACAAAGGGAACCTCTTCTACTTCAATTAGAATTCATGCCACTATCAAAACCTTCATCCATTTGTCCACTGATCAATTTTTAAAGCTCCCACAAGCATCTCCCACCACCTGGAACATTTGTAAGGACCATACATGAAGCAAAATACCAGAAACGTTGATTAACACCAAACTTTTAACACCCACTTTGCATGTTGCTCCAGCCAACCAATTCCATTCACAATCCAAATCTTCCTTTGCCCTCCTTATAGCTCAGAATAAAGAGGAAAAACCATGTATTTAACTTTCCAACTTTAACACTTCTTAGTTGCAATTTTGCATGGACCCAATTCATAATTTCCTCCTCATCTAGCACAGAATTGACAAAACAACCTACTAAACATGCCTCTAGCCACCTTATTTGGTCAAGAGCATCTCCATCAGGACCCACGAACACTTCTTTCAGGAGAGTCTTTTCTCATCGAAAGGAGGATGTTGTGGTGAATGTTCATATAATGGTTGTTTTCTTCATTTGTGTTTTCCATACACCTGTAGATCCTTGTTGATTTTCTCTCCACCTTCCATAGGGACAATAGAAGGCCCATTAGAGTCAAAGACCAAGGGATGAACAGGAAAAGGAGTAAGAAAACTAGTTACCATCTCTTCCACCATTAATGGATATTTCTCCCTTGAAGAGAAGTATCTTTAGGAGTAAAGAAACAAGTGGACTTAAAAAATGTTACATCCATGGACACTAACTTTCATTGAGAAATAGGATAATAACATTTATAGGCCTTCTAAAAAAGCAAAATAGCCCAAAAAATGCACTTGAGGTCACAAGGATCAAGTTTAGACTAAGAAGAGGGAGGAACACGAACATAGCAAATACAACTAAAGACTTTAGGTGGAAAAGGAAACAAACGTCAATTAGGAAAAACAAACTCAATAGAAAACTTGAAATAAAGAACCCAAGGGGAGCCTAAGTAATGAGAAAAGAGGTACTAAGAACAACTTGTGAGATGTCCCCACACAGCCTGATATTCTATCCCATGTTCAGAAAAGATAGCTTGAAGGTCTGTAAACAAGTACTCACACCTAACTGTCAAATAAGAGAACTTTTAATGGGTCTTTCAAATTGCATACACACCATTTTATGAAAGTTGTAAAAAATGGTACATACTTCATGTTTGGATTTCATCAAATAAATCCAAGTACACCGAGAAAAATTATCAACAAAAGTTAACAAAATATTAATGACTAAGTAAAGAAGTAGTAGCTAAAGGGCCTCATACATCAAGATGCAACACATGGAGAAGAAGAAACTACACCATTCTGAAATTTGCAAGAAAGATAGGAAGTGTTAACCGTAAGAGAAATATGAGGTAATAGTCATTTAATTCATCATTTTATGTTTGTTTTCATTGTTTAAAATAATAATTCGGTTATCAATCAAAAACATAAATGTCATATTAAAGGTTGAACCAAATGACCATCATAATATTGAGAAGGAAGATCAAGATGCAACTATAATTATGACTAAGGAAGCTTTTGTTCATTGTGTACTAATTTCTATAGTGAACATTAAGGATTATACAAAGGTAAGAAAACTGTTTCAAACTAGCTACTCTAGGGTTTAGATGCCTTAAGGCCTCGTTGGTACCACCATGATCTGAATAAAGAGAGATCTCCACCAACTCCATCATAATCAAGAATTGGTTCACAGTTGCAAAATTTTCTCCATCTTAAAGCAGAGACAGTGAAGATGTCGTTGCCTCAAGAAAACTCCATCAAATAACTTGATGGATGTTTTTTGGGAAACACAAGAACTTAAATGATTCAATTTATTCCCGTAGAAGGCTTGACACGATGGGTATACATTTAATTTTGATTTTTAAAGCAAAGTATACTTTGATTTGTTTGAAGTATTGCCATTCATATATTTTAAGGGAATCCATTTAGAAAAGTAAAGAAGAAAATGTAATAGAGGGATGCAACCAAATAAGAGACCTAAATATAAGATAACATGCAGCCATATAAGAGACCTAAATATACCAACCAATGAAATAGAGGGATGCAACTAAGAAAACACTAAGAAGAAAATGTTGTAGGGGTGCAACAATGGAGAATGCAAACAACCTACTATGTGCTTACTCATACCGAAAGAAATATACTTGTAATCTTAAACTGATAATATAGGCAAATAATGTGATGAACGATATCCAAATTCCAGGAATGTTTGATGACCTAAGACCCGTATGCACCTAATGATGCTACAACTTAATCCCTAAGGCTGTTTTAAATATCACCTCGCATTTTTCCTGTTCCTCAAAAGTCAAGTTTTCTGATTTACCCTTACATAATACCTCTTTACTGCAGCAAGTTGAATATATAACAAAGAAAATTTGTCTGTTTTACTTTCATTCTCTTTTTATAAACAATAAATTATAAAATAATCTTAAGGGGGCGTTCATCTTTTGGATTTTGAGAGGGGGAAAGTTGGTCAAAGGGATTTTGATTCCCATTGATTAAGAATCCCATGTTCTTTTCTCAGATTTATGTGGGGACCAGGGAAATTTTATTTGTCTAGGCATACCCATTTCCTATGTGGATAAATAACTTTCCCACCTTGGGGGGTGGGAAAGTTGCCAACACTTGAATGGGACAAAAGTGCCCCTTATAATAATCGATTTTTATGGCTAAAATGGTCATTGCCTTTTTTACATGGGAAATAAAAGAACATGGGTATATGCATTTATCCAGGTAACTCTTTTCTGGAAAACACTTACCTGGATAGGTGCATTTACCCAGATAAGCAACTGACCAAAAATCGAACAAGGCCTAAATGTCAAGGAGCTGTCCAACCTAAAAGCTTAAGCTGTTAGGTAAGGAGATCAAATTGGTGCCCCACAGCACCTCCCACCCGTGTACTGGGAACATCTCCCCATGATAAGTACTAGAGATGTTCCCAATGCATGCTGAGATGTGCATGTGGGGAGCCAATCTGATCTCTTAGGTGAGGTCCTTGAATGGGTTGTTATTCTCTAACAATAAGGAAAAGATAAGAAAGAGTGTATACATAAGTTCACCAAACATCCAAAAGTCTAGAAGACAACCCCAAAATGAACATTATCCCACCATGAAACATTAAACTGGGGACTAGAAGACTAAATCCAATTATCCAATATTGGTCTTAGCTATCTGGAGTCATATGAGGAGTAAACTGAACACTGTCCTAACCTTTGGCAGTTTTTGCAAGAAGTGGCTGCTCTCAGACACAAATCCACATTCTCATACTTGACAGCCCAAGATCATACCATTACACCAAGAAGACTAAAAGAAAAAATAAAAAGATATTCCAGAGGCTTGCCAAGCACCTAGTGACCATAGCATCCATTGTCTACTTCTAGGTTTACATGGGAAGATTAGTAGCATTAATTAATACACAATAAGGAAAAAAATATATAGAGGAAAACAAAAAATATCAGAAATATCAAACAACCATTCGAAGAGGAACGAAGCAGGAAGCAAATTGTGCCTAAGCTAAAATCCACTACCATTACATAGATAAGTGTAGATATAAAACAAACCTCAGTTCCTTCTATACCCATAGCGAGTCCAATGTCTGCTTCATGCAAAGCAGGGGCATCATTTGTACCATCACCTGTCACTGCAACAACTTCATCAAGATTCCTTAGTTGGGTCACAAAGGCATGTTTGTCCATGGGCAAGGATCGTGCCATTACCTGAGGAAACAATGCAACATTTTCAAATACTGAATATGGTCCACAATTAAAATTTGTAATGCAAATGACAAGGCAACCTGAACAAGTGATATTGACTCCTTGATTTGCTGGGGAGTCCATTGGCGGAACTCTTGTCCTTCTATAGCCAAGCCTCCCTCTGTCAATATGCCACATTCTTTTGCTATTGCTTTAGCTGTATTAATGTTGTCACCAGTAACCATTCGCACAGTAACCCCAGCAGATAAACAAGTCTGCACCGCATCCTTGACACCAGGGCGTAGTGGATCCTTAATTCCAATAACTGCTATCAATGTATAGCCATGATCTGGGATGTTGTTTCCATTGTTCTCATTCAAATCCTTAAAAGCCAAGCACAGAGTTCTCAAAGCTTCACAAGCAAAACTGTTAATCACCTCCATGCCACTCTCTATCTTGGATTTTGACAGATGAACARATTCACCTTTGCTATCAATAATCTTATCACACATTTGTACAACAAGTTCTGATGCACCTTTGCAAAATGCTCGGAAACGACCTCTTTGAAGGGCTACAAGCACAGACATCTTCTTCYTRTCCGAATTGAAAGGTTCAATCTTCACTATCTTAGATTCCCGCCGTTGGGCACCATAATCACCCCCCAAAAATGAGCCAAATTCTATAAGTGCTGATTCTGTTGGACTACCCAATATTTTAGTCTTCCCATCCTTCCCCTCCACCACCTCAGCACTAGTGTTTTGAAATATACATTGCAAAAGAGTTCTTAAAACTTCCTCAGARACTGTAGACTTTAAAGYATTCATGATGTTATTGCCTTTTACCGATTCACATATCCAAATTTTATCAACGATCATATGGTTAGTTGTCAATGTCCCTGTTTTATCTGTGCAAATAGAAGTAACAGAACCCATAGTTTCACATGCAGAGAGATGCCTCACTAGCGCATGATCACTCATTAATTTCTTCATTGCAAATGCAAGGCTCAGAGTCACTGCCAATGGCAGCCCTTCTGGAACTGCAACAACAATTATAGTCACTGCAATAGCAAAATAGTTCAGAATCTCCACTACATCACTCAAAGACCACTTCAATAACTCACTGTGMAGTCCCTTCTCTACCARAAACCTTACAACCAACACCAGAAATGTCATAACAGCAAAAGCCAAGCCAATCTTCCCAATAAGGGTAGCAACACCATTCAACTTCACCTGAAGTGGTGTCTCATTTTCCCCACTCTCACTCAAAGTCTCCATCAACCTCCCCCATTCAGTCCTCATACCAACTGCTGTTACTAGCATCTTGCCGGACCCATTTCTCACTGAAGTTCCTGATAGAAGGAATGGCTTTGAATGATTTACATTCACTGGTTCRCTCTCACCTGACAAGCTTGACTCATCAATTAACAGGCTATAACCTGAWATATACATACCATCAGCTGGAACTACATCTCCAATAGATAAATGAACAATATCTCCAACCACTAGATCATGAATTGAAACCTTTTGTCTATATCCATCTCTTGTCACATGAACAGAAATGTTTTTCTTTTCCTTRTCCAAATCCCTAAATTGCAAGGACTGCTTGTAGTCACTAATTGCAGTAACCATGACTACCAAGAAAATACAAAGTATGATCCCCAACCCATCATAAATACCCTTTGGCAATCCTTCAGTAGCAATTCCAACACCTACAGAAACCACAGCACAAACCATGAGAATTATTAAAGTTAGGTCTTGCAGTGCCTCCCAAATAAACACCCATAAACTTCTAGGTGGTTTCTCAACATATTTGTTGGATCCRTATATATTTTGCCTCACAGGCAGTTCCTTTGAAATGACACCATTTTCCAGTGATACTGAAACTTTTCTTGCAATTCCTCCCACTTCTCCATGTTGCTTTAAGCGYCTGGAATCATGGCCACGAACAATGGATGCAAGTTCATTTGGGTCAATGCCAAATCCAGCTTGTCTAACCTCTTCTGAGAGCATGTATTCAACTCGACTACCAGCTGTACAAGAACAAAAAGTAAAAAAATAAAGTTTTAGTGGAAATATTGAAGGGTTTGATTTATTATTGGTAGTTTGGTGGAGTTCATACCATCAATAAATTGCAATGCTGCTTTTTGAACATATAGAGCAACTCGTATTTTCTCCTGGCAGGAAATAATAGCAATATTAAGGCTACTGCAAATTTTAATGAAAAAAAAATCAATAAGATCCAGTTGGATGTAAGCAAAAGTACAAAAGTGATTGTGTTTCATTGTCACAACCACTTTGTTTAGTATCTCTTGATTAATTAAAGGTCATTACCCAATGTTGGTTCCAGCTATCTGGGGTTTTGGGAGGGGTAGATTGGATATGGTTCTAACCTTTGACATTTTTTGCACAAAGTGGCTACTCTAAAATTTAAACCTGCATTTTCACACTTGACAGCCCAAGATTTTGTCCTTTTTTTAATCAATGCCCAAGATTTTACCCTTACACCAAGTAATGTTATTAAAGGAACAAATAAAAGAAACCCATAACTGTCATGAAACCCAATACAAACATAAATATATAATGATATTAAACTTGTTCTACACTCCTTGAAGACGAGAAAGTAATGCTATAGGAACAACATTGAAATCAAGAATATTAAAGCTTAATCTTGGTGAGTTCTTTCTTGGTAATCTAAGCTACTCAGGGGATGGGGTGTTCTCTAGAGATCAGATGGGAAGTGTCATACTCAAATATTCAAGTCCAACCGGTGAAGCAACCTCCTTGTGGGAAGAAATATTTTGCCTCATACATGGTTTAAGATTGGACTACTCATTGAGCTGGACTGACTTGATTGTTTAAGAAGATTGCTAGGTTGTTATTAGATGGATATCCTCAAGGCTGCTAGGTTGTTACACTCTTTTCAATACATATCTATCATATATGTACCTAAAACAATAGAATTTAACACTTCGTACAATAGAAGCCAAAGATGATAAAGTTAAGTTGTTGCAAGCATTCATTGCATGTCAAGCAATGGATGGGATGTTGGATGTATCTGTAGAGCTACCTTGGCTGCTCCCAGGAAGGCCATCCATGATTTTTGTCCTACCTTTCTAAATCATATCAGGTATGATTTGGCTTCTAGTCAAAAAATCAAATTTTGAGAGGATGTGTAGATTGGGGATGTCCCTCTGCATGAGAGATTCCCTTATCTTTTTTATCTTTCCACGTTCAAGGGTATGCCTATTTCTGAATTCCTAAGTCAGCATTCTCATCCCCCAAGGTTGACTTGGAACTTTGGCTTTAAGAGGAACCTTAGAGAGTCTGAACTTCCTAGTGTGTCTGAATTGTTAGGCTTGTTAAATGCAGTATTCTTAGGAGAAGGTGGATCAGATTCTAGGGTTTGGGGCCCTAATTCTGATGGGCTGTTTTCTTAAATCCTTCTTACATTTCTTTGGTGGCAACCAGCCACCTCTTCTCCTTCTTTCCTAGTCAAGGAAATTTGGACTATTTGGGAGGAAAGAAATGCAAGAATATTTGAAGGAAGAAAAAAAAAAGTGAGGAAGCCTTGGTTGAAACAATAACTTTGAGAGTGGCATACTAGGCAAAAAGCGTGAAGTTGTTCTCAGATTTTAAGGTTGAAGATTTCTTCAGGGATGGGGGTTTTATTGCTGCCTTTTCATATATAAGACAGAAATCTATTAAGACATGGTTTCCCTCTATAGATGACTAGAAGAAGAAGACTTTTGATGGGAGTTGTGTGGGTAATCCGGGCCCCTAAGGTATAGGGGGCCATTAGAGGTGAAGATGGAAACATCATTGCTTTATACTCTAGTCCTATGGGATAGGGTGATGTGGCAAGGTCAGAGTTTCTAGCTGCAGTATATGGGTTGAAAAGGCCAAAGAATTGTGTATTAACAGACTGATTATTGAGGTAGACTCGAAAACTATGATAAAATGGCTGCAGAAGGGGGAGGAGGTGACATGACAATTGAGGAATGAATTCAGGAGATTTAAATGGCTCTCAAAGGCCATGTCAATCCACGTGAGATGGATGAGGAGAATTGTCAACAGCTTGGCAAATAGCTTAGCTAAGCAAGGGGTACAAAGAACATGTCTGTTTTGAGCTCAATTGTAAATTTGGTTTGGGTTAGCTTTCTAAAGCTGGGTTTCTTTAACAAATTCTTGTTATAACCATATTTTCTTCTAATCAATGAAATATTTTCTATGTTTCTAATAAAAAAGCAATGATAAAGTTAAGTTTGACTTAAAAATAAAATAATTTATATATAATGGCTTTCTAGCCTGCATATGATGTAAGACAAATTCAATGTTTGGCAATGTTTTGAAAATTGTAATTGTATTGTAAATGTGTAAGATTATTTATATTTTTTACAAACTTATTAAAAATACAAATATAAAATATACTAAAAGGCTACATATATATAGGAATATGATTTTACCCTAGTTATAATCCATGTCTAGCATATATGTACTTAAAAGAATAGAATTTAACACTTGTATAATATAAGCCTAAGATAATAAACTAAAATTTAATTTGAAAATAAAATAATTTACATATAGTGGCTCTTTATCCTACATATGATGTAAAACGAATTCGATTTTTAGTCTTAAATAACACAAATAAATCATGTTTTAGTGAAGGCTTTAAAACAAATCTTCCTTAACAATATTAAATATAAACAAAAACACAAAATAGATAACTTATTCTTGATTGAATTTATTTGAATTAGAGTGAATCGTAAGATTCATATAAATTGTAAGATTTATGAATCAAATTGTATGATTCAAACAAAAATCAGAAAAGGATTCAAACATAAGATTCAAATTCAAACCCTTTGAATTCATGATTCAAATTGCGAATCATATTGTAAATCATCAAATTTTTACAACATTGCCCTCCTATAGGTGTTCTACCATTGGTCATAGGTCACACCCTCATACATATCCTTAATTAGATCCATATATCTCTTTGGAACTCTTTTCTTTTCTAAATCCCACCATATTATCTCTTTAAGGGCTCTAGCAAATGCTTTCTCTAGATCATTGAACATTACATGAAGACCTATCTTCTTCTCTATGAACTTTTTAACCAATTGTCTCAAAAGAAAGACAAATTTCATAGTCAGTTTCCCTAGGCATAAAAATTAAATTGATTCCATTAGATACTTGTTTCTTATCGAAACATTTGTTTAATTATTCTCTCCCAAAGTTTCATAGTGTGGTTGATGAGTTTAAATATGGGCATTGTATTGCTTTCTCTCTCTCTCTCTCTCTCTCTCTCCTTTTATTGAATATCTTCTTTTCTTTCATTATCTTATTAAATAAATTAATTAGCCATAATAAGCCTACCTCTCCCTTGTCTTTTTATACTTGTATTGAAATATCATCATGTCCTAATGATTTCCCTTCATTATCATCAATAATTCAAATTTTGTGAAGGACCATGTTATTTTAAATACTATTACAGTTACTAATCTCTCCTCCATTAGCACTATCCGCATGTTCTTTATTTAATAATTTTATGAAAAATGTGAAGTAATTTTATTAATCTAAAACAAACGATTACAATAAGCAAATGCCTCCCGTCTTTAATTTTTTTTTTTCAAAATAATTTTCTATCTTTCTTTGATCTCATTTTCTACCAAGGCTCTTTGCTCTTCCTCTATAGTGTACCCAACATAGTTTAAATCTCTACATTTCCTTTCTCTTCTTCTTACTAGTTTATAAATTCCATCCCCCCCTCTTTAGTGGCTAACTTATGAGAAGTCATTATATGCCTTCTTTTTATTAATCTTTATAACATGTTAATTTTATTCTAATTAAATTTTGAACCTCCTCATTCCATCATCAAGTTTTTTTGGCATTTTGTTATTTCCCTTTGAACTCTCTTGAATCTTTCTTTGCCACTTTTTTTATGTAGTTAGCATTTTCAAACCATGCATCATTGGTTACATTTTATGTCTCACCACAAAGGATATATCTAAAAATTTTAAATTGCCTACGAACCATCTATAAAATAGATATCGAAAAGTAGGATTTTATGTACCACACGCACGAGGTATAAAATGTATTTATTCTTTACGAATCAAGACACAAATAAGATTCTAGTGGAGCTGGTTTCACTAGTTCGGTGACTAGTCTACCACTCCCTAGAGGATGACTTTTTAACTCATGGGTTGGTTGGAGTCGTGTCTCGTGTGTGATTCATCAAATGCCACGTCACCTGAGACAAGCTTTCCGACAACCACTGAGACAATGGACTTATCCCCTCCCACTTTTTCCCGCTTTTCAATAAATGTGTCCACGAGCAAGTTCCAAGAAACTTCGTCGTTGACACTCTTTTAAAATAAGTGGTTGTGAGCTATGTAATCTGATTTATACATTATCTATATTCTACTTTTAGAAACGGACCGTTCGATTTGACCCGGTAATCGGACCCCTGACGGGTTCGGTCTCCGAGTCCGTTTTAAAAACCATACGTTTTAGTGCGTAGTGCTTACCATAAAAATAAAATAAAAAACCAAAACGTAGAATCCAACAAGCCTTTGGCTTATTCTGTTGTGAATACCAATGTTATAGGCATCTTAGTGATGTTTAACAAATAACAAGCCTTCTCTCTTCAAATATAAAAGAGCAGTGGCATGCAACTAAAATTAATTAATTAATGGAAAAGAATGGGCCAAAAATATCACAAGTTATTGCCAAAAGGCTAATATTAACTGCGTAGGTCAGAGCCCCCGCAACATGGCAAAGCAAAGTCTTCCTTCGGGCTTCGACTTGAAGTTCCACCCTAGGGCTGTTCACAAATAAATCCAATCCGACTAATTTGGCTTGATCTAATTCGAGTTGGTTGGTTTTTCTTTACTATCGGTCGGTTTCGGGTTGTAAAGATGAATAAATCGATTATTATTAAATATTTGTTATGTGAAAATCGAAATCGAATCGAACCGAACTAAGTTATGTGAAAAAATATTTATTAAATATAGATATTTTAGTTTTAAATAATAAATATATATCTGAAAAATATATATACTCTGAAATATGTTAGATATATATTTCTAAAATATATATTTCCAGAAATTAGAAAATATATATTTCGATATATTTGTATATATGTTTTGGTTTTAAATATATTTTTTCAAAAATATTATATATAATATTAGTACTTTGATTTCATGTGCATTGTGCAAACTTGAAGTTGGTTGAAATTCAAACTGACCAAGTCGATTTTACTTAATAAAAGGTCAATTTCGATTTGATCTATAAATAACCCGACCAGGTCGAATCAGTTGAAAAAATACTACTAAACCGACCCAACCCAACCTTTGAACAGCCCTATTCCACCCTGTCAATGGAACCGACATGGCCTTAATTAATAGACAACTCTCCTACTCCTAATCTCCTACATTGTCCATTCTTTTTCTGGTAAATGCATCCTACATTGCCCTTTCAGACTCGGAGAAATGCAAATTGAACGATAGCAAATCGATGAGATTGAGGCAAAATAAACAACATTAATTAACGACAAATGAATTGCAGATGGAAACTGATAGAGACCGCACCTGTATACTCAGCTTCTTCTGTTCGGCTTGTCGTCTCTTCTCTAGATCGGCACAATACCGGAACCTCCTCCTCGGATTCTTCAGGATCGTCACAGCTTGTCTCCATCGCTTTAGAGCTTCCTCCGATGAGTTCTTCGATGGAACATCAAACTCATTTCCCACTAGCGATTCCATTCTAGAAAAGATATCTGAGAAGTCGTTCTTCTCCCCCTACTCCCAATCGATAAGATAAAAGAGAAGAGAGGTTGTAGAGAGAATTATCTTTTGAGTAGGTCTGTTGAAGTTAGACAAGTACTGTGATATCTTCGCATTCGAGTTAATTTGGTCGAACTAGTAAGAAACGATTTAATCGCTCATGACATAGTTGGATACGATGATGATGATGACAACGAAGAACCACCATAGCTTTGATACATGTTCCTTCAATCGTTCAAATATTATTAGGATGCAACTCTCGTCGTCTGTTTCAGTTCCGACATAATTCCACAACTAATTTTACGGTGAAAGTGATTATACTTTCCGATCCTTATGCCCTTTTCTCACTGTTGCGACTTGCCATTAAAATCTCCGTTACCTCCCCTGCGATACAATACATACTCATCAGATTTCCAAACAAAGAAATCAAAAGTTACAATAACATTTTGATAAGACGATTGTGATCTTCAGATATCCAATATCTATACACCTATCCATATAATATATTAGAAAATTTGCAAAAGTAATACTGAGTCCTCTTTGAGAAACATGTATGGTTTCATTTAGGCATTGTTATTCAACCCAGAAATGGAAATGCCATTATTTTATGCTACAAAGCAATACCAGAACCAAGATGCATTTTTTATGAGTTGGAAGCAAGACAAATGAACGTCAAGTCAGACCAAGCAAATTAAGAACAAGATTGTGAGAGATACAAGGCAATTTTAGCAATAGGAAAACACATTCTAACACAAACAACGAAATAATATCTTGGAATACCAAACAAGAAACAACCTTTTTGTTCCTTCCAAAAAAACGACGAAAGAAGTCGTAAAAACTCACATTTTCCTTTCTCACCGATCTCAGAACCCCAAAAGTCAACTAAGATTGAAAGCAGAACAAAAATCTGCCTTTTCCCCAAAAATTAAAAAATAATACTTTTTTTAAGTTTTCAAGTTTCTAAATTTTACCGATCAAAAGCCAAACTACACTAGTTATTTTTCCTTTATCCTTTGTTTATAGTTTGTAAAAGATTGGTAAGCAAAGATAACATCAAAACAATAATTATAGAAAAAAAAAAGCATTTTTCCCATTCACCTGTTTTCAACCCCTTGCTTGATTCATTCAAACCATCAAAAACAAAAGATTTAATTATAAAAGTATGAAAATATTAAAAAAATAGCAAAAGGAAGAAAAAGTTTACCTTTCCCATTAAATCTGAGCAGATCTTCTCACAATCTTCTCAATAACTCATTTTGTCTTCTATTCTAACAAATTCTTTCTTCTGGCGCCGTTTTCTGTTTTCTAATGTCAGATCTCAAGGATATAAAGAACTGGTCTCCAACAATAAACTGATTTCCAACAATAACTTGTTTTGTCCGCTTCCAGCGTAGTAGGGCTGTTCATAACAATGCCCAACCCGATCAAACCGATCAACCCGGACCGATTCAACCCGAGTCGGTCGGGTTTTCATTCGTATTAGTCGGTTTCAGGTTGGGCACATACAAAAACCGATATCTTGGGTCGGTTTCGATTTTCACATAAGAAAACTGAAACCGTCTCAACCCAAACCGAACTAGTCTTTCTTCTACTAGTTTGGTAGTTCCTACTTCCTAATTTGAGTAGTTTCCTAATTCCTACTAGTCTTCTAGACTTCTACTTGAAATAGAAGGCCCATTAGGCAATTACAACTAGAATTCAATTAATTAGGTGTTCTTTTTTAGTTTTTTACCTAGATTAGGCAATTACAATTAGAATTCA